CTCTTCTTTCTTTCGGTCCTATCAGAGGCTGATAGAAGCGCCCCCCCCGAAAGTAAAAATCCTAGCAGCGCCCCCTGTCAGCGTCGGATATTAGCTATCATACACTGACAAGCAGCGCCGGATGATCTGGGTACCGGTGGGGAGCTGCAGTGAACGTCCAGTCCGAATCAGGGATTGCCGCTCTCAGCACTCAGGTCTGCCTTCTTCACTGGCAACAGGCAAAGCCGTGCTGAGCCCTATATCAAATCAGATCTGTCAGACCTACTCCAGAGAGATACAGGGCTGGGCGGACTGCTACCAAGACCCCCAGCACTGTGCAATATGTCGTCAGCCAGAAGCTCAAACGGCTCCTCATCGCCTTGCCTATGCTAGACTGCTCAAGTGGCATGTAGGTCGCCTCGACCGCCCTCGACAGAGACATGGATTCGCACATGTCCAGGTGGCCACTTTCGTTGCCCATCTGAGCTCTTGCAACTATGGTGCAGGTACTGTCAAGGAATACCCGAATGCCCTTGCATCTTCGTCCACCTCCCCGGAGGAGCAAGGAACACTGCCCCAGGCGACAGATGCTGTTGCTACACATGGCACATGTCATCCTGTTGTCGCCGTCCCCGGTACAGGTGTGTCTGAGGCACTGGCATCAAGCTGCGGAGGCCCATGCTTGGACCCAACTGCTGCCATAGTAGCCAGAGCTGACCGATTGCTAAGGCTGGCACCCAGGCTGTCCTCACATACTACCTGGGCAACCCCAGATGTGCGGGTTGTCGGCGACATTATGCTCAGCGAGCGAATCCAGCAAGCCCGACAGCTAAGCAGCAAGAGACCAGAACTCATACCAGGAACAAGATGCCCCGAGAGGATAGAAGGACCCCCCTGCTGGATCTGGATAGCATGGACTGACTCGGTACAGTCAGGACCAGCTCTCGACAATTTTGTGACCCCTCGCCTTTGTCGAGTTTCGAGAACGCAGCTATGGGCCCCAACCTCACTCAGAATCCTTGAAGAAATGCATCATCTCTTCTCTCCTAATCAGAGCCACCCCGGTCCCAAACCCGGGGGTCGACTTTATTCAATCGTTCACCTCAGATCTCATGACCAGTCGATAGGGGCGAGGGTTACAGGTGACTGCCACTCGCCTGTGGAACCGAAGGTTCCTCATGCAGGATCCAACGGGAAGCCGTGGCGTGAGCAAAACACTCAACTCGTGCCTGTAGGGACGGCCCCAGCAGGCTCCCTACGATGGTGGCCAACACATGGCTACTTACTAGTGACGTTCTTCACTCAAGATGCTAAGATACTCCCTGGACCACAGTTACCTGCAGTCACGCGAGCCAAGCGAAGCTCACCAGTGGCCCTCACTGCTACTGCTAGCCCGCGATCGTACATGTTCTTTGCCTGCAGACGTAAAATGACATTCTGTCTTGTCTACATATCAAGAGTGCCAATACGCTTGATTTGGACTGTGGCTCCAGCACTCAACCATCTTACCCGATCCATGGCTGTACAGGGGACACGACTCTCGTGTAGCCGACCCTCAGCAGTCGGCACTTCGCTGCCAGTTCCTCCCTCGAAGGTGCGCAGGGCCCCATCAAGTGCCCAATGGATGACATCACACTGCCCTACCTCCACACGACCCGCTCGACACAGGCATCCGTTCGACAGACAAAAGGCGAGACCCGATCAATCGGTTGTCTCCTCAGACACTCCCTCGACTGAGGTAAGACACAAAGGACCTGGGCAGTGTATCAGGTGCCCCAGAGTGCTTCAAGCTCTGCTGAGCCTTTTTCTCTCTGGCCCTCTTCCAGTGGCTGGAGGGGCCCTTCCACACCCTGCTCAGGCAGGGCTCAGATCCGAGATCACTGCTCCTGTTGCAGCCTCTGATGCACTGCAGGCTGTCCCGTCACTCAGCTCGGCCAGAAAGCGAGCCTACAAAAGAGCGGTAAGGAGAGCTTCTCAGCACCCGGATCAGCACACCACGTACAGAGGTCGTGTATGCACTCTGCAGCAGCTCTGCAAGGGCTATCAGGGCCGCCAACCACGCCCGAAGCCTCAGAGACAAGCGCAGCTGCATGCTCTACAGAGAAGCCAGACCAGACCTCTTGTCCTATCCTGGAACGCCGGAGGCCTCTCCTCCAGTCTGTGGCAGGAACTACTCCTGACCCTGGAGCATCTTGCCCCGGAGGCCAGACCCCAAGTTGTGTGTATCCAAGAGTCACACTGGGGTGACAAGGTAGCTCCCTCCTTTATCACGGCTCAGTGGTCCGTTTACACGTCGCCCAGCACAGACAACAAGGCCGCGGGGCTGATAGTATTACTAGACAGAAAATCGCTGCCGAGTGGTGAAGTGCTCACGGCAGATCCCAAGCCGGGCAGGATCCAACACATTCGGATTGCCACAGCCCACTGGACAGCTGATCTCCTGCATGTCTACCAGAAGCCGTATAATTTTCATCCCAAAGCCTCGCAGGATGCGAAGAAGCTCAGAGCGGAGATATGGTCTGTGCTCGAAGCCCAACTGCAGCGTATCCCCAAGAGGCACACCTTGATAATTGTGGGGGACTTCAACTGCCCACTGAAGTCATATCCTCAGGCCGGCCCGAGAATCCAAACAGGTGGTAGCACCATGCCACCGGACCAGGCTCGACTTCAGAACCTGGTCGAAGAGTATGGCCTGACACATCTCAACTCGTGGTGCAAGGCAGCTGGTCCCACGTTTGTGCATGCAACTGGTGCCAGCCTGATTGATCATATGCTGATGAGGACGTCTCAGACTGACAATAGGGCCAAACAAGCCAAGCCCGTGGACCTGGCCCTCGCTGCCTGGCGACTTGGAGGGAAACACCTCCCAGTCCAGGCCAGTCTCCCAGTTGTACCCTTGCACTCCCTCAATCATCCAGCGACGCCCAAACGAGCATGGAATCATTGGGAGGTGGTGCAACTATGCAAAAGCCCGAACGACAGTCGCGTGGAGGCTCTCCGCCACATGATCAAACAGGAGCTACACATGGCTACTGACATTGCCTCACTAAATCAGCTCTTGGTCAGGTGCGCCACGAAAGTGTTTCCCCCTGTCAAAGGACAGCAGCGACTGACCACCTGGCAACAGCCCTGTATGAGCATCGGCATCAAAGGCATGTGGCAGGCCCGACGACAGTGGAAGCAACTCGTGCAGACTCAACCTGATCAAGTTCTGCAGATAGGCAGAGCATACCAGGCCTTCAAGCAGGCTCACAAGGCCTTCAAGCAGGCGGGCAAAGCATGCAAAAAGCAATGGTTCTATGACAGAATAGATGAGCTACAGGCTGCTGCAGGTCGAGGCGACACTCGCTCGCTGTTTGCTGGTGTCCGAGCTGTTGCACCCAAAAAGGCCAAGGCGAAGGTCCAGCTTCGAGATGACAAAGGCCAGTTGCAGTCCGCAGGTGAACAAATCAAGCAACTTGAAACATACTATCGTAAACTGTATGCGGCGGACAAGGACCCTGCAGTTGCTGGCGAAGCCAGAGCCCCAGTGACTCTGCGAATTGACCCGGGACAAATGACACGTGCCTTGTCACAACTATCACCACACAAGGCCACTCCTCCGGGTCAGGCCACCAACTCTCTCTGGAGGCTGACTGCCGATCTTATCGCACCTACCTTGTGCGAGATGGCATCACAATGGAGGCAAATCCCGGCCGACTGGCGGGATGCATGGTTGGTCTTAGTGCCAAAGGTTCCGAGGCCGGTCTCGCCTCGGAACCTGCGTCCTATTGGACTCACCGAGCCCAGCAGGCGGGCATACGCCCGCCTGCTGCAGCAGCAACTTAGAGATTATGCATCCACCTATCTTCGGGAGGCCTCGCAATACGCGTATCTTGGGGGCCGTGAGGCCGCAATGGCCATACACCGAGTATCACAACATTGCAAGTACGTGCAGATGAAGTGCTCGCATGTGATTCGTACAGTTGCTGATTGGCAGGAGTGTCGTCCGGCATCTGCTCCTCACTTCGCCGGGGTCCAGTTGTCGTTGGACCTCTCAAATGCCTTCGATCTTCTGAACTGGAGGTTGATCGATCGGGCACTACTTGATGCTGGAGTTGACATTGAGCTTCGAAACCAGGTCATGTCGTGGTATTTTGAGGTCACCTATCACATAGAGCATCTCAACAGGACGGCCCAAGTTCAGGCAAAACAGGGCCTGCGTCAGGGCTGTCAACTTGCCCCGATCTTGTGGGCGATGGGAATGGGATATGTCTTCAAATCTGTAGCTGCCGATCCGACCAATCAGGTCACCACAGCATGGCTACAAAACAACACTACGACTTATGCGGACGACATCCACCTCATGGAGGTAGCGAGTACTACTTCTCATCTCGATCGCCTGCTGCACAACTTCGGTACGATGCTCGATGCCTTAGTAGATAATGACATGATCATTAATGCCACCAAATCAGCAGTACTCCTCAGACATCGAGGTTCCTTCATCAAGAAATGGTTGAGGAGACACAAGCAGCACACCTCGGAGGGAGATCTGCTGTATCTCCGTACACCCAAAGGCCGAGAGTTTCGATTCCCCATGCGAGACCAGCATACTTATCTTGGTGTCAAAATCTCGTATCATGCCATGGCAAAACATACCACCCTTTACCGTCTGCAGCCTGGCAGCGACTTCGAGGAGTTCTCTGTTCCAGTGGACGTCTCGCGCTGGCTCATCGCATCTCCCTCTGGAAGGCCACAGTTCTTCCAACCCTGATGTATGGACTGGCTGCAGTTGATCCAGAACCCAAAGAGCGCACCCGTATGCAGTCCCTCATCATTAAGCACGTGCGAGCTATGGCTAAGTCCTATGCACACAAGGTGGCAAGGGCAGGGGAAAATCCAAGGGAAAGGGAGGGCCTCCTCCAGGTCCATCCCTAGCCCAGGGCATTTATCCCTCGGCAAGCATGTGGGCTGACACCAATGGTTCCAGCGAGGGAGCGGGAGGGTCAACACCGTGGTCGACCGATCGTCAGGGACACCAGGAGTGGCTGGAGGAGAGAATGGATCGCCTTACACAGATGATCCTCCGCCAGGAACAGACCTTATCGGCTCTCCGTCAGGACCTGATGCTCTATCTCTTCGGCGAGCAGGGCATGATACCGATCTTGTGTCAGGCAGCCGAAAAGTGAAGAAGCCTCAAGGAGGAAGCGCCAGAGAAGTTGGGATACTCCCTCAAACTAGCAATGTTCAAGCAGTTGATGATCACGTTGCAGGAGCGGCTCACAGAAACATCGAAGAGCCCACAGGCAATGGACCACGCCAAATCCCTCAACTGGGTAGACCCGGAGGGCTGCTGGAGGATTCTCAAATGGAATGGGGCAAAGCAGAACCTCGAGATCGACCCCTCAGTTCAGGCAACCTCCACCGAGAACCTCCTGAGCCAGATTGTGCAAGTCCGCAAGGCCATCAACGAGACATCGCTAATTCGGTTCAAGTCTATTCGACGGCTGACGGAGGGGGTAAAAACGGAATGGGTGACCTTCCAGATCTTCGTGTCTCTTCGCCAAGAGGGCTCTCCGATCTGGAGTGCTCTGACTTCGTGGATTGGACAGGCAGCCTTCCACACGATAGGATGCAGATTGAGGCGCGATCGGCCACAGTACGATGCACTGGCGGCCAGTCTTTGGGGATGAACACAGGCGCGATCACCAGTCTCCGGAAACTGCTGCAAGTCTCACTTCACAATGACACCAATCTGTGCTACTTAAACTCCACTGCCATTGCAGCAACCTGGACCATCCTACAGGCTCAGCTGCACGATCAAGGGGATCTTCATCTAGCCCCGGCCCTCAGGCTGTTATGCAACAGAGATGAGTCTGCCTTGCATCGTCCGATCAAGCTCCTCAGTCAGCTTCCCTGGAATGTACTGCTGCAGGGATGGCGGGACATCCACAGACAGCATGATGCTCCCGAGCTTGTGACACATCTCCTACCCAGGCTTCGGGTCAACAGTCCAGATGCTCGATGGGAGGCCAGAGTCAGCACCGAGAGAGGTCTGAGAATCCAGGATACGGGAAGCATGCATTCACCACTCCTTATGTTCCCTCATCCAGGGGACGCTCTTTACCTCCAAAGAGTGATTGATCAGTGGCATCTTCAGGCTGCTGTGCATGCCCTCGTTAGTCCTCCACACATCTTGTGCATTCAGCTGCAGCGCTTCACAGGTGAGAGGGGACATCTCACTCGGCATGTTCGGCCCCTACAGGACTGCCATCACATTGTGCATGTGCCCGTATTTGCATCAGATCACACCACTGCGGTACACCCTGCCCGAAAGGAGGTCACAGCGATACAACTCCATTTTGGCCAGTCGCCTGACACGGGGCATTACCGCACCATCCTTCGAGGTCAAAAGAAGTTTGGCAATCTGCAGACATGGATCACAGATGACAACAGTTCTGCACAATCTGCTACCAATGACTTCCCAGAAGCATCATACCTGCTATGGATGCGGCAGGCGAAAGAGTGAAGAAGCAAACATGGACGAGTTAGTATTGGAAGGAGCCGACATAAGTCCTCCTGAGCTCACCTG